GGGCAGGAGCGCCGCCGCGCTTCCCAAGCGGCGCAATATCCAGTGCGCCACTGGGCCGGCCCATATCCTGCTGATTTTTAACACGGGTGATAGTATGTGTGGTACCTTCCAACTTGGTACCCCCCCCCAATTTTATACGTATGCACACAGCAGGGGGCTGGTTATCAATTGACTTATTGAATCAATATCTATCTATCTATTTCTGTCTCTTTCTCTCTCCTACTTCCTAACATATTTATATATGATTATGTTTTGGGGGTATTCTGTGGTGAAATAATCTGAGGCCATGACCATAATCTATTTCAATCTCTCCAGCCAAAGTCACATGTCGTCTTAAAGCACTAACAGTACTGATTTTTAATCATCTGCTTTTCTTACTCTTTTAATAATTTTAAAAATTGGAAATGATTCTTTTTTCTTGTCTCCTTTTCTACACAGCCTAAATATAATGTAGCCTTTCTCCCTGCTGAGAGAGAATTAATATATAGTAAGTGACAATAAAAATATATTTGAACGGGGCCGGCCCGGTGGCGCACTGCTATAGTGCGCTGCTTGGGAAGCGCGGTGGCGCTCCCGCCGAGGTTTCGGATCCCACATACAGACCAGCCGCTCACTGGCTGAGCGAGGGGCGGGGGCGACACCGAGGGTTGCGATCCCGTGGCCGGTCCCAGTCCGGTACGGGTGCTACACTGAGGGTTGCGATCCATTGCCGGTCACGAAAAAAGACAAAAAGAAAAAAATATATATATATATATATATATATATTTGAAAAAGCACAGTATAGAAAATTCTTGAGTCGCATGTTTAATGTGCCTAACATTGTTACATGTCCTAAAGTTCAGAGATTAGACTTGTTAAGTTTAACAGGTTTTTTTCCTTGTTTTTTTAATGTCTGTGATTAAATGTCTTGTGACTTACAGCTCTGAACTAAAATAGATGTTCAGCCTTTTTCCAGCAGATGGGGATCATGAGTTACACTGAAATTTAAATGGCCCAGGGAAATCCATTAAAAGTATATCTTTTTTTTTTTTTTTTTTTAGTTTACAAATATAGAAACCTCCCTTATGATTGCCTCTTACCTAAAACAAATGAAAAAGGGAATTTAAAGCAAATTCATCCTTACTTTGTGATAAACCATGTTGTAAATTTTGTTGAAAATCTAAGGCCCAGCCAGGTGAAGAGATTACCTTACTTTGGCCAACCTGTTCCAAATAAGCACTAGTTTCCTATATCCATCCCTACTCCTGAAATCAGAGTTTCATTCAGTTATTCATTTACTTAACTTTCAGTAAGCGGTTAATCTCCAACAAGGATGGCACAAGCAAATGAGAAAGACTTGGCCGTGGCCTTTGGGTGCCATGGTCTGAACAAATTCCTTAAGTGAAGGGATCGGAAGGAACACAGAGAAGTGACCCACATACTTGCTCTAAAGGAAGCCTCCCGAATGGTGGTAACTTTTGAAATGGGCCTCAAATGATTATTTCACCAGTTAGAAAAGAGTAGAAGTCTTTTTAGGGAAAAAACAATAGAAAATGACAGGGGTCTCTGCGACCGAGCTAGTTTTCTGAAAAGTGCTTTTGCCAACCCTGATCATTTGAGGACTGTAGGGTTTTTCATATATCTAGAGCCCGAATGATGTCATTTCTTTCTTGGTCTGAGCTTCCATTCTTTGTTAAAATCAACTGGGGTTACTGTTCACTAGAAATAGTGGTTTATTGCCATTAAAACCACCCTGGTGAGGCAGGTTTCAACATGTCAATCCACAGATTCTGCTAATATTTCACCCTGGCTTTAAATTTAGCTGTTAAACTCTTAGGGTTCATTCATTTTGGCTTCTTCTTTATCTGCTTTAACTGAAATTTGTTGATTATGTAATCTATTTTGTATATGATTAGAATCTATTTTATATATACCATAATATTGGACTTAGCATATGAGAGTGAATTTTTAAGCTGTGAGAGTGGTTTTCAAATTTTTTTAAAAGCAGAATCCATTTTCCAAACAAAATATCCTGAATCATTTTATATATGCCTGAATATGCCTGAATCATTATATATATATATATATATATATAAAATATTGATAAAAGCAAAGCTACTCTGGTTAAAGAATGGAGGGGTAGAGAGAAGCCCCTAATTGGCTCCTCTTTCAGTCTCTACCTTGCGTTTATGGTGGTCCATGAGGGGCTTTCATGTCTGTGGGGCTCCACTGAGCACAGCTGGAAAACCATGTAATATTATATATGTGTGTGTGGACTTTTTAGAAAAGGCGCTTCTCAAAAATCAGAGCATTATTGTGGTCATATACAAGATGTTTCTGAACATGTTTAAATGAATGATACAAAATGCCATTGACACATTAATAGTAGTGTCACATTAAAGACATTCAAAATTTGGAAGATTGGGCTGAGCCCGTGGTACACTCAGGAGAGTGCGGCACTGGGAGTGCAGCAGCGCTCCCGCCGCGGGTTCGGATCCTATATAGGGATGACCGGTGCGCTCACAGCCCTCACTGGCTGAGCGCCGTGCAGCCGGTCTCAAAAAGGACAAAAAAATAAAATAAAATAAAATTTGAAAGATTTGTAGAGCTTTTTTTGAAAACAAGAATATTTTTAATATGTTACAAAATAAGTGAAATTTTTACAAT